CTAGACCCTTCTTCAGAAATTTCTGAAGAAGGGTCTAGGCCCGAAACATCAGCCTTCCTGCTCGGCCTGCTGTGTTCATCCAGCTCTACACCTTATTATCTCAGATTCTCCACCATCTGCAGTTCCTGCTATCTCTAAGACAAAGAGGCTAGCTAGTTAACACTGATTACGGGAAAACGCTAAAGCTCAACCGGATTCTCACTCCTAATTCTTATGTTCTAATGGTTGGCTGGAAAAAAACATTTACACCACTTCTCTGAACTGTTTGATTGGCTATTTAAAAAAAAAGGTTACACAATCTGGTTAAATTTGAATTTGCCAATTTACAGGGCAAAACCAAATAGCAAATTAGCCCACTGTAAGACAAGGCAAATTTCTGTAATATCTTGGCATGAATATCTGGGGATGGGTTATACATATATATTTTAATATCACTTCTGAAATTTGTATTTCAAAATAGAAGTTAGTGCTTGGGTGAGCCGATTGAAATCAAATATTTCATTTGAAAGCAGATAACTTCAGAAACAGTTGATAGGAAGATGTTTACATTTTGATTTGTAATAACTAGAACAAGCACACAAGGCCATTCGATTTGTTTTCAGAATCTAGGGCTGAAAAGTTTTTTTTAAATTTAGTTCACAAGACACCAGTATCAAGTTTAGAGATAGTAAGAACTGCAGTTGCTGGAGTCAGAGACAACATAGTATGGAGCTAGAGGAACACAGCAGGCCAGGCCCTAACAAAAATAAAGACAAAATCCCCCTTGTCCTCACATATCACCCCACCAACCTCCGCATCCAACGTATCTGCCACTTCTGTCACCTACAATCCAACTCCACAGACATATTTTCCTCCTCAGCCCTACGTGCCTTTCATATGGACCGCTCTGTCCGCGATTCCCTTGTCCGGTCCACAATCCCCACTAACCCCACCACCCCCGGCACCTCTCCCTGCAACCGCAGGAAGTGCTACACCTGCCCCTGCACCTCCCCCCTCAAGGCCCAAAACAAAACCTTCCATATGAGACAGGGGTTCACCTGCACATCCATCAACATGGTCTACTGTATCCGCTGCTCCCGATGCGGCCTCCTCTACATCAGTGAGGCCAAGCGTAGACTCGGAGGCTGTTTTGTGGAGCATCTGCGCTCTGTATACAACAAACACCACCTTCTGGTCACCAGCCATTTTAACTCCCCCTCCCACTCCCTGGGTGACATGTCCATCCTGGGCCTCCTCCAGTGTCACAATGACATCACCTGCAAACTGGAGGGGCAGCACCTCATATTCCACCTACAGCCCGATGGCCTAAACATGAAATTCACCAGTTTTAAAATCTCGCCACCCCCAGCCTCATCCCATGTCCAACCCTCCCTCCTTGAACTGAACAACCTGTCCATCTTCTCACCCACCTGTCCACCCCTCCCACTTCACTTACCAATCCCCACCACTCCCTTCCTGCGCCACTCCCTATCTCTCTCTAATTTCCCAGCTCCCTTCCCCCTCTCCCATTTCTGTCCACTTTCCTGCTCCTCTAATGCTGTGTTCCTCCAGCTCCATACAGTGTCAGGTTTAGAAGCAGGTCTAATTTCTCTCCTAGGAATAGGATTCAGGGCAACACATGGAACAAGTCATCTCAGCAGAATTCTTTGTTTCTGATACTTCCAATCCAGGAGAGTTTGGTTAGAAACAGAGAAAGTTTAGACTTGTTAGAAGGTATCAGCAGATTTAAAAATCTCACCCACATTCTCCAGCAAATAAATTGTCAGTTAAGCAGAACACAACTGAAGCTCTGAATAAGAGTCACAGCAGACTCAAAACATTAACTTTGCTTCTCTCTCCACATGCGCTGAAGCTCTCTAAGATTTCATGTTTATTTCAGCTTTCAAGCATCTGCAGTGCTTTCCTTTTGTATGCTCTATCAAGGTTGATTTCATTCTGGGTTGGTTCATTATTAGTGTCATCAGCTGGAATCATAAACAAATGACTAGGAGATAACTCAAGCATTACTTAAATAGAGAAAGGAAACTAAAAACTAGCATATCAGGATTATACAGCAGTACGAAGTTCACATGGGAAAATCTTCCTTTATTAATTGTAACAGATTTATTAAGGGGTTAACAGAGAGAGTAGACAACAGAAATGCAGTAGATGCAATTTATGTAGATTTTCACAAGACCTTTAAGATGGCCCTTAGTATCCTAACGACTAAGGTTAGAGAAAATTCAGGGATAAGGGTCAAGATTGCCATCTGTCTTAATGTCAGCAAGCAATGCAGAAGTGGGAGTGCAGGATATTCAGAGTGTCTGATAATGGGAAGCAATGTCCCACAAGGATCAGCGCTCATACCACTGCTGTGCACAAACTATCACAACCATTTGGACTCTGGAAAGCACCATTTTTAACATTCTGAATGACACCAAATTAGGGAAAATTGATGAGGGCTCACTTAGATAGTAAAGCATATTAATAAATTTATAGAATGGATGAATAAATGGTAAATTAAGTCCAATCACTAAAGGATGCACATATTAACAAGGTCATTTATGAGAGATTGGATAGACTGGGGCTGTTTGCCTTGGAGGAGAGTCTGAGGAGGGACGTGAAAATTGGGGGAGGGGGGCATAAATAGGGTAAATGGGAAAAGACTTTTGCCCTTAGCGGAGGGAGCAACAACCAAATGACATACATTTAAGGTAAGGGGCAGGAGGTTTAGAGGGAAATATGCTGCAACCCTCATAACATTAAATAGTATTTAGATGTGCACTTGCGATGTCAAGGTATACAAGGCAATGGGCCAAGTGGTGGAAAATAGGATCAGAAGAGGTAGAGATAGTAGGAACTGCAGATGCTGGAGAATCTGTGATAACAAGGTGTAGAGCTGGATGACCACAGCAGGCCAGGCAGCATCAGAAGAATGCTCTGATGCTGCCTGGCCTGCTGTGTTCATCCACCTCTACACCTTGTTATCTCAGAACGGGTACTCTTTTTATTTGGATTGACACAAACTTAAAGGGCCGATAGACCTCTACGTCTCTATAAAAAAAAGTGCCAGTTTTCAATTGCATAGGGGTAGAACTGAAATTTGTGACAATATGTTAAACCTGTACCAAACCTTAGTTAGATCACATTTAGCATATCATGTACATTACTAATGTGACTTGCATTCAATCCTATCTATATTTTGATGAACATTTGTCAGCAGCATATGTACATAATAAGTTTGTATATTTTTCTGGAAAGGTATAGATCTGGCCAGCAGATTATAAAAAAGGGTAGAGGGGCACTGGACAGTGTGCAGTTATTACAGGCATAAGTATATAGACCAGGAAAATAATGAACAGACTGGATATATCTTTCTTCTTTGAAAATAAAAGGGGAGAGGTAATAGTTCTCTCTTAAAATCTTGGAAGGTTTGATAAGTGGATAGAGAGAATGTTTCCTCTCGTGGTCACCAACGTAACTAGAGATGAATGTCAAATAGTCACCAAGAAACTGAATAAAATCCAAAAGGACTACGGTAAATCAGGAACAAAAACAGAAGTTGCTGGAAAAGCTCAGCAGGTCTTGCAGCATCTGTGAAGAAAAAAATCAGAATTAACGTTTTGGGTCCAGTGACCCTGCCTCAGAACTGGAAGCAGTTCACTAGACCCGAAATGTTAACTCTGATTTTTTTTCTTCACAGGTGCTGCCAGATCTGCTGAGCTTTTCCAGCAACTTCTGTTTTTGTACCAAGAAACTGAATTTCTTTGCCCAGAATGCTGAGAGTATGGAACTTGCAAGCTCAGAGCTGGTGAATAGAATGGACATATTGAGGAGGCTTGACAAGTATAAGAACTCCAATTATGCACCAGATGCTTGAAAGACCTACAACATTTTTGTAAAGTTAGAACTTTATTTCTTCTAGTCTCTTGTCAAGGACTAGTATTTGAACTTGACACCTTTGCTGTTCTGTACACCTCAGCTTCCCACTGTTGTTACCCTTTAGAAACTACAAGCAAGCAAGTGCCTTAAATGTAGGGGCATTGGTGAACAGGTTTCTACAGAAGAGAATGAGAGTAATTAGGTTAAGTTGAACAGCAGATCAATACCTTTCCAGAACTGGATACAAGTCACATTAGTGCATGGGAACAGCAGAGTAGTGCGAGGCTGAAGATTTACAACACCAACATAATGGAATTAAATGAATTAGTTGAAGATTCCTTTCATAAACAAATGGATAGACAAAGTTAAACAAATTTAAATTGAGAAAAAAATGTGATTCAAGCTCATGAAGAAAAATATTTTGAACTGCTCTGTGCTTCACAAATAATGACTATTCCACAATCAGATATAGTTATATTAAATAAACTCAAATTAAAGATTCCTCTATATTTCAGAGATCTGCATTGACATCAGCACATCATATGCGACACTGCGAAGCTTCTGCTGGTAAATCTGAAATAGTGACAAATCATGCTGTAATTGTCATTCATCAGGTTTCTAAGGACGTGAATTCAAAGGAAAGACACAACCAACTCCAAAACTTTATTTTGTAGTTTTGGTAACTGCTAAGTGATTTGGCTCCATTAAACACTCCTCCTAAAGCAAATGGAGGCTTGTATTTACAACTGGTGCTGAAACAAACTCCAGCAATTCTGAAATTGAAGGATGGTCAAGTTTTGTTCCTTGGGAATTCAGATCTTAAGGCACAAGCCGGTCTCATTGTTTAAAAAAAAACTGAACGAGAAAATGCAACTGAAGAGAATTGATGTATTTAAAAATAAATCTTAAAGACACAGCAAAGTAAGGATTACACTCCATGCTTTGTATCCTGAAGCAATTTAGAAAGCAATGCCATTGTGCTCCATTGATAGTAAGCATTATCTACTTTGGGACAGGCTTCAGCCTACTATTAAGTCAGATACTATTTTCAAGATATTTGAATAATTTAATAATATTGAGGCAAGTGTGAATTTAACCATTTCCCTTTATTGATGAGAACACTTTCATCAAAGGTTTCTTTCTTTAAAAAAAAGAAACATGACTTTTTTTCATCATTCTCAGTATGTAAAATGAAATTGGAATGTTTTTATTGACATGTACAAAGGAAAGATTATCGGAAAAAAGAAAACTCATTTCACTCTAAACTTTGGAAAAGTGTTAAAAAACAAATTGCATGTAGGTTTTATTGATGATTAGTGCACTAAGAGCGAGTACATCTTAATTACTTTCACTAATCAAATCAATTCCATCCTGTAACTTGTTAAATGTAAAACTTAAAACAAAAATGCTTATATTTCTAGAGACTGTCAATGAACAAACCTTTCAAAATAAAACACCAGAGTCTGTAAAGTCTTAAAACTGATATGCAGCACAATAAGATGCTGTTAAAATTATCAGGAAAATCCCAAATGTTTTTGAACTTGCTTCTACTGTAAACAGCACAGTAAAATCTGTAATAGTAAGTCTATGGTTGTTGCCCCTGATCCTGAGCATGCAACAAAAAATATTACAACTAAAAGCCTTGTAAGCATTAGGAGATATATAAGTTGGAACGTTGTATTTTTACAGTTCATAAAAAAAGTCATATGAAATGGTGATATTCGAATGGATTACAATCAATGCTTGCTGCCATTTTATTACATTTAGCACTGCATTTAGTCTAGAAGATTACGCATTGCTGGCAGATCCAAGGTATACTGCAAGTTGCATTTTGTTGTGGGTTACACTGAGCCAGGCTCAACTGGTTAAATTTTAACACTTGAAGATTGGTGGCAGCAGAAAGCTTTTTTTGATAATGAATGGATTTCAAATAAATTTATGAAATGTCAGTGAACTGAGGGCACTTCAAATCTGATTTGAATAAGGCTGGAGTAAAAGGTCACACAGCAAGAAATCCAAGTGCTACAGTTTCTCCCCACTCCAACTCCCTATTCGCTTGCATTGAGAACTTGACTTATATTGTCATTCTTGTCAGAATACTCACCAGAAGCAACCCTAAAGTGATGCAAAACGATGGTGTGAAAGCAGACTCTGGTGATAACTAGTGTTGATCTCAATTAAAATTATTTTAATTGTTCAAATGATAATTGTTTTACTTGCAGAAATGTTTACCCCTCAAGAATTATACATTCCCCCCCAAAAATTGAAATGTTCCTAACAAATTGACCTCAAAGCAAGTTCGCTGTCTATTTTTTATCTTCAGCTTCAATGAACCTTTGCTGCAATATAATTTGCAGATGAAAATACTCAGAACCATGACATGCCAATTAGCTTTTAGATTAATAAAGTTAGTTTCACAAAATTATCAGGAGGATTTTTTAAATGAAAAAAAGTCAACCAGGAAAAATACACACGATTTGTCATCACCCCTTGTCCGTTACAATTTTGACATAAGAACTACAGAAAGCCTGAAAGATAGCATAACATTTGTTGTTTCTATAATTCTCTCACTGAAATTGCAACAATAAAAAGGTGAATTCTTAGTGAAATCAAACACTTATGTAGCCAGGTACCCACATATCCCATTGGGGAGACGTAAATTTATTCAGTTTTATTACAGGGTGGTGACTAAACTACTGACAGGTACTTAGAAAGCCTAAAGTTGCTTTGTTCCATGCTAGTTCAAAAGATAACTTTAAAAGAAAATATATGGACTCACTTATTTTAATATTCATAAATAAACTGAATCTGGACAAAGGCTGTAACACTACTGAAAAACAATATATATCGCCAGCTACAGAAATCTAATACTTTCTCTGCCAATGAGAAGTTTTTAAATGGCAGAAATCATATAAACATGGGAAAATTCAAAGAAGGCTGAAAGAATGTTGTCAGGTTTAGAGCTTTACATTAACTATTTTAGTTCAGTCAACAGTTCAAATTTCACCAGCTTCCCTTTCTTCTGGACTTGCTGCATTAAATTCTGACTTCCCATTTGTACTCTCATGTTTCCTTTCTGAAGAACTCTTCTCCTTTCGATCCTTATCTCTTGATTTTCCCCTAGGAGATCGATCCCTTGAAGACCTTGAAAAACAACACTATTATTTAATACAAACCACCAGCATTTCAGCTTCCACAACGACCCATAACGTAAATTCTCCAACGGGTGAAGTAAGGAACTACATTAAACAACTCCAGATTCAATTCCGATGCAAGCCAGCATCAGCTTCTGGGTCCAGACATTAAAATTACACAGGAATCACTTTTTAATCATTATCAAGGAAGTGCTGAAAAATGCTCGTGGACGTTGATTAAATGATTGACTTGGCTTTCATGCCTTATCCACTCATCTTCAGATGGTTGAATAGTTACACCACAGGAAAGAAAGGCTCAGAAATGGTAGAATTGATTGGAATAATTGGGGCAAAGACCACATAATTAAAATTTGAAATAGAGAGAGAAGAAAAATAAATGGAGAGGGGAAAATAAAGTCGACAGAGGGACTGTTCAAGACATGTTTTAAAGTAAAAATTGTGTTTTTATTTGTTTTAACTCCATGCAGAATATTATTGTAATAAAGCTACTCTCAACATTGATATGGTTATCTATTACACTAAAAACAGCGAGTGGTCCTGGATTTAAAGGAACTGTACCAGTTAACAGTTTCTGAACAAGGAATGCCCACAGAGGAAGTTTTTTTTTTTAACCTCTTCAGTGCACTTTGAAAAGATTCAGAAATCCCTCCCTATTAAAAAAACCGTTGTGAGACATGGCAAAGCATCAAATAAGCGATTGCTCCCCAACTTACTGAGTTATTTCTTGTTTGAACTACTTGATTTTGACAACGAAACATTGACTCCGAGTAGTGCAATTATTGATGACGACCTACAGAATAATGGATACCTGAGTCTGATTACAGAATGGTAGCTTCTTAAAATGTTTAACTGCACAAAGAGCAGCGAATATAGCTTGAATTCACTCCCAAACCCTTGCCTCCTCAATCCTTCGCTCCACCTGCCTAGTCACCCTTTTTTTCTGTTCCCCTTCAATCAGATTTTTCGACCCCTGTATACATTACCTATGCTCTGGGTTCTCTCCTTCGGCTGCTATGTCCTCTCCCTTCCTCACCACCCCCTCCTTCCCCCCAGTCACCTACCCCATAACTACTCCACTCCCACGTTTCATTCCCCTTGCCATCTCCTGATTTTTTTCTCTTTCTCCCACTTCCTTACTACTTTTCCTCCATCTCCATCCATTCTCCCCAATTAACTCCATTATACCCCATCCTTTGCTTGATCTGGGGGGAAAAAACCCTCTTTTACCTGTGTGCAAGGTCAATGTTAAATCACAAAACTGGCAAAAAGTGACACCCAGGCATTACTGCGTCCTGAGCATCTAAGGAACACAGTGCAACACATGGTAAGAACTATAAATCTATGTCTCATAACAGAAAATTCTTCTCAATGGAATGTAAGCATTGAAGCACATCATTGACCAAAAACAACTTGCATTGAAGATCTTGACAAATGAAGTTGAGATCAGAGAGTTAGGTAATCTAATCAGTTTATAAAAAACATTTGCTTGCTTTAAGTATTGCTGGGCTTCACCCCTTTTTTTAAAAAAATAAACTACCAGTCACCAAACTGTATTCAAGCATTTTAGCACAAGCATCAAGTCTGCCATTTTGAAAGGGTAATTTTTTTTGTTGTAAATAGTGTTTAGAGGCTTATAAGTACAGCTAATCACAAATCATTTCTTAAATCACAACAGCCTAATTAAAAATGATCTGTGCTTGTGATAAAACTTTACCCATATTTCTGTAATTACATTTCTTGTAGGCAAGGTTAAAAAAGACAATCCAAAACGTATGACAATACAAACAAAACCATCACTATAATCTTGTCGCTCTCAGAGGAAAGGAAATTGATTCAAAATAATGCTTTACAATTCCAGGAGTATAGAAAGTGTAGTGGAACAGCTGAAGCACTGCAAGAATTACAAATCTCCAAGTGGAAAATACAATGCATCACACATTAAAGATGATCAAGCTGATCAGTCTTTCAATTACTTAGATCAGAACAACAATTTTGCCAACATTTTACAGACATAACCAGTGTTCAGGTTCACTGTATACAGACTCCTAATCTCAACAATAGAAATGAATTCAAATGAACCTGTACCTGTCTGTACAGGTCATAGTAATTAAAAAAAAGGTGATAACCACTGCAGTCTCAACAAGAGAATTACTAAATTACTATTGTAATGATTTATAATGATATTCCAGAAATTTAATTTGATTCAAAAATTTCACCAGTCTTACTTATGCTTCGAACTCCGCTCCCTGCTTTTGTCTCTTGAACTGCGACAGTGTCCTCTGCTGCGACTATGTGAACGGGACCTGTGCCTTCGGCGCCTGTCACGGTCTCTGGATCTGGATCTTGATTTACGCCGCTCATGGCTGGGGGAACCCGAACGTTTTCGCCTGTGATCACGTGATCTTGATCTGTGAGCATTTTTAAAGTATGAATTAACTGATAATTAAATTTGTAACGTGGAGACATAGAAAAACATTTCCAGCATCACTTGAAGGAACGTTGATTTGTGTAGGGAGAGCAGAAAAATACAATATTAAACAGTGACAAATTATTACATGTTGGCAGGCAGCAGCATTTGTTTATCCTTGTAACACAAGGATGCAAAACAAAAACATGCAGGTACTGCAATTAGAAAGGCAAATAGTATGTCATTCTTTTCTACAATAAGATTGGCCTACAAAATTATGGAACTCTTTCTGCAATGCAGGATTTTGATCAGACCACATCTGGAGAACGGTGTATAACTTTGATCTCTATACCGAAAAGGGATTAAGGGTTTATTAATTTATGGGACAAGAGATGCGTGTGTATGTGCACATACGTGTACGCACGTGGCAGGTTTGATGGGGGTGCTGGAAACATGACAGTCCAATGAAAAGTCCGCTAAGATAGCCCTCCCTCGCTTCACTTGAATTGAGATGGGCAATCCATCAAGACACACAAGATTCTGAAAAGACACTGAGCAGCTCTGACAAATGCAGAATTAAAGATCAGTTTCAGCATGAGGGCTATTCCCAATTGAGACAAGGAGAAACTTTTTCACTCGGTTGAGTAGCTGGAATTATCAACCCCAAAGCAATGGTCGTGGAAATTATTCAAGACAGAGGTCAATATATTTCTAGACTCAAAAGAAATAAAGGGTCAAAGGAATCAGGCGAGAAAGTGAAGATGAAATTGAGAGTCAAGATTTTACTGAGGTGAGGAACAGATTCACAAGGTCCCGTGGTTTGTTCCTATTTCTTTAAGTCGGGCAGCTCAAATGAAAGAACTTGAACTTGCAATGAGCAGGGTGCAGACTCGAGTATTAAAACTGAATTCTTATCCGTGCACAGTGCTTTCACATGTAAAAATTTAAATGAAGTCTTAATCAAACAAACATCAGGCACACAAGTTTTTCGGTTTGAAAGAAGAGCTTTAATTATTGAACTCTCAGTGTGACAGTGCAATGCGGGAGGCAGTGGCATAATGGTATGGTCACTGGATTGGAAATCCAAAAAATACAGGCTAACATACTGTGGAATTAGGTTTGAATCCCTCCATGGCAGATTGTAGAATTTCAATTCAATAAAATTCTGGAATTAAAAACATCTAATGATGACCATGAAAATATTGAAAACCCATCTGGTTCACTAATGTCCTTCAGGGATGGAAAAGTACCATCCTCACTCGGTTTGGCCAACTCCAGTACCACAGTAATGTGGTTGACTCCTAAATGCCCTGTGAAACTGCTTAGCAAGCCATTCAGTTGAATCACTCACTAAAAAGTCTCAAAAAAAAAGTGAATGAAATCGGATGTGCAACCTGGCATCGACAAAGGCAATGGAAACAACTATGTTAAACACGGAGACAACACAGTGTGGAGCTGGAGGAACACAGCAGGCCAGGCAGCATCAGAGGAGCAGGAACGTTGATGTTTCGGGTTCCGACCCGAAATGTTAACCTTCCTGCTCCTCTGATGCTGCCTGGCCTGCTGTGTTTCTCCAGTTCCAGACTGTGTTGTGTCTGAATCCAGCATCTGCAGTTCTAGCTATTGGTGTTAAACTCAGTCCTGACAAACCTGCAGAGTTCTCCTGATTGACATCTGGGATCAACTGACAAACTGGGAAAGCTACCCAACTGACGAGTCAAGTAACAACCCAACATAGTCATACTCTCAGAATTATACTTTACACACAATGTCACTGGCAAGGCCATTGCCTCCCCTGGGTATAACCTCTCCCACCAGCAGGACAGACCTACCAGAGGTGGCGACACAGTGGGTATACAGGTGAAGAGTTGCCCGGGAAGTCCTCAGCACGGAGTCTGGACTCCATGAAATGTCACAGCATCAGGTCAACATGCCTAAGAAAATCTGTTAAATATCATCATGTACCATCACCACATACCTGATCAATGCTGCATCATACTGAATACCACAAGGAGGAAGCACTGAGGTGACATGGGCATAGAGCATACTTTGGGTGGTCGATTTCAATGTTTGCCAGAGAGTGTGGCTCAGCAGGACATAGCTACCAGCTTGGGTCTGTGGCAGGTGGTGAAGGAACCAAAAGAGAAAAACATACTTGAACTCATCCTCACACCTCCCTGTTGCAGATGTAACCAGTCATGATAGTATTGCTAAGCGTGACCACCACACAGTCCTCGTGCAGTCAAAATCCGGTCTTCACATTGAGAATAGCCTCCGTTGTGTTGTGTGGCACTACCACCATGCGAAATGAGATAGACTGAAAAAATTGAGCAACTCAAGACTGGGCATCCATGAGGCGCTGTGGGCCATCAACAGGAACAGAACTGTGCTCAATAGAAATCTGCAACCTCATTAACATACCCCCACTCTACCACCACCAGCAAGCCAGGGGATCTACCACGGTTCAACGGAGAATGCAGAAGGCCACATCTGAATCCGCACTAGGCTTAACTAAAAAGGTGTCAACATGGTGAAGCTACAAAAAAGGACTATTTACATGTCAAACAGCATGAACAAATGATAGGGCAAAGCTGTTCCACAACCAAAAGATCAGATCCAAACTCTGCAGTCCTGCTAGTCATGAGTGATGGTGGACAAGTAATTAATCACTGGGAGGAGGATGCTCCACAAATATCCCTGTCCTCAGTAATGGGAGAGTCCAGCACATCAGTGGAAAAGACAGAAGCATTCACAACAACCTTCAGCCAGAATTGCTGAGTGGATGATCCATCTTGGCCTCTTCCAGAGATCCCCAGCATCACAAATGTCAGTCTTCAGGCAACTGGGTTTACACAATTTCATGATGCAGTTTACAGTTGGAGGCACTGGAGCCTGACAACATTCCAGCAAAAGTACCGAAGACTGGTGCTACAGAACATACCATGTCCCAAAGCCAAGCTGTTCCTATATAGCTACAACACTAACATCTACCTGACAATGTGAAAAATTGCCCAGGTATGTCCTGCGTACAATAGACAAGACAAATCCAACTTGGTCAATTACCAGCTGATTAGTCAATTCTCGATGATCATTAAAAACAGTGATAGAAGGCGTCATCAACAGTGCTATCACGCAACACTTGATCATCAAAAACCTGCTCACTGACACTCAGTTTGGCTTTCCTGATTTGGTCACCTGATTGTATAAATAGAACAGCTGAATTTGAGGAGAGGGGAGATTGATTGCCCATAACATCAAGGCTGCATTTGACGGAGGAGGGCATCAAGTAACCCTAGCAAACTATAGTCAGGGGGAATCGAGGGAAACATTCTACTAGTTGGGAGTCAGACCTAGCACAAAGGAAGACAGTTGTTGTTTGAAGGCAGTCATCTCAGCTCCAGGTCATCTCTGCAGGAATTAATCTAGGCCCAATCATCTCAGCTGCTTCTTCAGTGACAAGAGCAGGGATGTTTATTGATGATTGCACAATGTTTAGAACCAATCATGACTCCTCAGATGCTGAAGCAGTCCATATTCAAATGCAGCAGGACCAGAACATTGTCCAGGTTTGGCTGACAAGTGGCAAGTAACATTCGTACCACACAAGTACCAGGCAATAACAATCTCCGAAAAGAAAAGAATCTAAGCACAACCCCTTGACATTCAATGGCACTACCAATAATGAATTTCTCACTAACATCACTGCGTTTAGCATGGACCAGAAACAGGTTTCGACCAGTCATATAAATCCCATGGCTACAAAGAATAGTTTACAGCCTAGGAACCCTGAAGTGAGTAATTCACTTCCTGACTTCCCCAGCCCTAGCCATCATCTACAAGGCGCAAGTCAGGAGTATCATTAAATACTCCCCAGTTGTCCTGATGAGGGCAGCTCCAAAAACATGAGAAGCTTTACACCATCCAGGACAGAGCGGCCCACTTGATTGTTTAAAATTCGAAGCTTGCACTTTTAGGAGACTTATGTCAAAGGATGCACTTTTCAATGCAACTGATCTTTGGGATACTGCCACACTTTAGACCCTACAGTATCTTTTTTAAAAAGATCTATACAGGACCTATCACTTAAACAGCTTTACAGTCAATTAAGTACTTTTGAAAAGTAGTTACTTCTGCAATACAAGAAACGCGACAGGCAATTTACATACTGCAAGTTCTGAGCAACGTGATAGTGACCACATAATCATAATTTTTGATGTGTTGATTGAGGGATACATATTAACTCGTGTCCTAGCTAAGTCACCTGCTCTTTTTTTCTAGATTGGCAATGGGATTCTTTTTGTCTACTTGACACTGCAGTTGGGCTGTGGTTTAATATTCAACTAAAAAAATAGCATCCTGGCAATACAGCTCTTGCTCAGTAGACCACTGGAGTGTCAGCATAGATTGTTGAGCTCAAGACTTGCAATGGGACTTGAATACAGTCTTTTCAAAAATTTCACGTCAACTGCATAAATGTTATTTTACCATATAATAGACATACCTCTTGCGATCCCTGCTACGTGATCTGGACCTGTAAGGTAATGTTTAATATTTTAATCAGAGAACTATACTGGGCAGTATATATAGCCTAACATCTTGCATTGCATCTTAGAAAACCCATTTCAGAGTATGATCAATAATAAAGATTAATCATACAAAAATCCATTTTTTCTTCCACAAAACATTTTAGCAATGGACCAAGTGAGGAGCATCCAAAAATGCTTCTCACGTTTAATTTCTGTACAAGTTGTGATCAAGTTGGATTTGTGCTTCAAATTCCTATGCAATTTAACTTACTTCCTTTTCATCCTTTCTTCTTTTTCCCTTTCTTCTCGCCTCCTTAAGCGCTCCTGATTTCTTTTTTCTTGCTTCTCTGCAACAATTTTCTATAAATGCAAACAAAGGAGGAAATGAGAATCTTGAAACATTTACCTGGTAGGAAATATTTTAATTACATTAATTTTAAAGATAAACGCACCCATATAATGATGACTTGGAAATTTTCTCCAAGCAAAGTAAATAATTACATACTACATTAGTTATTTTCAACTTAAAATATATCAGAAATATTGAAAACTGCTTTGTAAATATACATCCCAAAAATACAACTGCGCATTTTTACTCTTTCCAGCACAGAAAGATCTCAAAATTACCTTCAAATGATCTAACTTCTCCCGGATTTGAATAAACCCCAAGTGCAGTTTGCCCCCAAAGTGATCAGCAAGCCGACGATCATTATCATGCAGACCCAGATATGCAGAACAAATTTCACAGACACGCAACTTCTGTTGTTGAAAGCTAGAAGCGGGCATTGAATTCCTATATTCATCCTGCAAAAAACAAGAAATAGAAGAACTTCATTAAATCTTCCTTGAATTTTAATCTAGCCAAACATCTGAAAACATCTTCCCTTCTGCATTTAAAATTTGTTGTCTGTGATGACAGAAATACCAGCCTGTAACTCATGGGGGAAAAACCCAAAATGCAAGCGTTTACAGGAACTTTGAAAGAACAAAACCAATCAAGAACCTTTTACACAAAATCACATTCTTTTAACTGTTGGAACATTCATAGCACACTAGATTAATTCTGGAAAAATCAATGTTATCGTTTGCACAAAATTACTGATTTTCAAGACTTTCTTCTAGTAAAAAGCGGGTGTAGCCTTACACTGAATTATTTAAGAACAAGAAACAAAGAGGTGTATTTCCAAGTGCAGTTTGTGGTTTGCATGACAAAGCCTTGTGTAAATGCACATCCTTTCTTGCAAAGGTGTTTAAAAAGATGGAGCTTCGATATAACTGGTAATCTGGAAAATTACTTTGTAATTTTGTGCTTTCATTTACAATACTTGCAAAGAGAAATTATAGATTAAGTAAATGGATGAAACCATGACAAATGGATTTTAATGCAGGCAAGTGAAAAGTCATCTACTTTGGAGTTAAAAACAATGGAATTCAATACCTTCTGAATGGTGAAAAGCAAGAATCAGTGGAGGTCAAGAGATACTTGGAGGTCGAATAGATAGGTTAAAATATGTTGAATAGGATCAGAAAATGATTTAAAACGTAAATGGACACTATCTTTTCTAATCAGAGCACTAGAATACATGGGTGTACAAAGCTTTGATTAATGTACACCTGGAGAGAATCAAAGGTTTACCAGAATCACACCTACACTGCAAGGGTATATTATGACGGGACTTTGAGCAAACTAGCAATTTAGAAGGTTAAGGGGTGACTTGATCGAAGTTTTAACATATGGGAACAGATTGAGCAAGTTGTGAGAACTTGTCTCTGGTAATTGGGATGTACTGGACTAAAAACATAACCAAAAAAATCAGAGTCAAACCTTTCTGGCGTAAAGTTAGGGAACTCTTCATGCACAAAAAATGGCAAAAGCTTATAACTCGCTGACAATTGTGAATGTTAAATCTGAGATTGATATATTGGTAAGTATTGAAAGATAGGACATTAGATTGCATGTCAAGCAATGTTTTAATGAATGACAGAACAGGTTTTGAGGGGCTGTACTTGGAATCTTAAGTTCTAAAGACAGATGCTTAATTTAAAAAGCACTAAATTCAGCAAAAACTATAAACATACAACTGATTAATCAAACCATAAAGCAACAAGTCAAACTAATAGATTTAAAAAACTCAATTATTTTTCTCAATTTGCATATTTGTCATTTTCTTCAAAATTCCATCTTTCATAATCCTCAAAATTCACAAGGTAAGATTCTGAAGGTGTAAATTTATTTTGCTCAAGTTTACAGGGGTGCTGATGATAAGTTGCCAGTATCAAATGTCATCATGACAGTGACAAAAAAAGACTTAAAATTTTCAAATTCCATTATCTGTTTCAGCCCAGTCAATGCCTGTGCTTACACTCCATTTCAGTATCTTCTGCTCTCTAAACCTACCATTGAAACCATCTATTCTGTTCCCATTCAAGTCTATCTAGTTTCCACTCAAATACAACTGAAATGAATAGTTACACCGATGTCAGTACACTGGTAGGGTAGACCCCAAGCTCTAATCAACAGCCAATGCAAGTTTATCACAAGTTCCTTACTTTTCAAATCTCTCACACTTGATTTACTTTTTTCCTCTAAGTAGCTCTGTTAACTTGTGCTGCAACTTTTAAGTGATTTATGCTTTTATGCTGCAAAATCTCTTGTTCATTTGCTAAACTTAAGAAATAAGTGGCTGCCTTGCTCCTCCAGCCTAAGATGGTTTACTTCATTAATGTTTAACTTCATTTGCCAATTTTGTTCACCACTCAATTTCATTATTGATTATCTCACTCCAATTTGAGTTCATCCACAAATTGAGAAATTGGGTTTTCACACAAATTAAGAGCTACATAAAGGCCAAAAAGAGTACAGACATCTAATAATGTGCAATTCCTACATGCATGAATCCAGACTATCAGGAAGAAGTGTAGAAGAGAGAACACAGATGCCCAATATCAGTTCTAATATAGTAGATAAACTTTCAGCTATCCATTAACAGATCTTTTAAAAACATCGAAAAACAGTACTTACCTCTGCTTCCCTTTTTTTTGTACGTACTCTTTCTACTTCTTGCATGACCTTCTGAGATTCTTCCACATTTCCTTCAGCCCCAAGTTGTTCAGCTTTAGCCAAAAGCTTTCCTATTTCTTCATTCAGTTCATGCACTCTTTCTGCCTATAAAACAAATGCAAAATCCTAGAATTTCAAGCCTTACAACACAGATAAAAGTTGGAGATTGTTTGCAAGAGCACTTCAAGGCCACATTTTGTGTACACTTTTATGAGGAAATTTGAAATCCATGGCTGAATACTTTAAGGAGATTCATGACAGGGTGTTGAACATTGGCTCTTGAGCCACATGCTACCTCATCTCATTAGGTTGATGATGAATTACGAAATTCTGCTGCGGTTTTCAGAGGCGCTACAAAGTGAGCAGCATCAACTTTAAGCGAATTTGTTTCAATTTACACAAACTTTTACCAACGTTAAGTTTTATATATGGTACTGGTTGCACTAAATATAAACA